GCCGGTGCGGGACCAGGGACCGGCGATCAGTCCCGGCCGCCGCTGGCAGGTGCGGGACCAGGGACCGGCGATCAGTCCCGGCCGCCGCTGGCCGGTGCGGGACCAGGGCCAGGCGATCAGTCCCGGCCGCCGCTGGCAGGTGCGGGACCAGGGACAGGCGATCAGTCCCGGCCGCCGCTGGCAGGTGCGGGACCAGGGACAGGCGATCAGTCCCGGGCAGCACTCACCAGGGGTGGAGCCGGAACAGACAACAAGACCGAGTCTGTGTCCTGACATCACTCCCGCTCTTTGTTGTCCAGTCAGGCACACCATCTACAAACAAGAGGAAATTATACGCTCAGGTGACAATCTGTACCCTGCAGAAACATGCACATGGGTTAGGAAATGGGGGCGCTTTAAGGAAACCTGACCATACCTGTCTCCCCGCAGCATCTCCGCGCCATGTCATTTCCTTCCCATCGTCCAGACCCTGGATCATTGGTTCTGTACCTCTTCGTGTCATACTCGCGTCCCAGTGGACCAGCTGGACTGGCCGCGTCTTCCTCTGTGGCCGCACACAAGTGTCACAGCTCCTGCCCCACCACACATGCACCTGCTCGTTGCCCACGTGCTCCGCCCTTCCTGCCCTCACCCCCTACCGTGTCCCCGCCCCCCATCCCCGCGGGGATGCGACACCCTCCCTCCGCGTCTTCCCTCCCCCGTGTGCACCACTGAAATCCCTTCTTCGTAAACCCGGAGTACCCCTTCTTCCCCTGGTTACAGCCCGTCCTGCACACTCTTCTCGCCTTCTTTCCCGACCCCGTCCCAGTCAGGCCTTGGACCTCAGCAGCGCTTCTGTGGAGGTCCCCAGTGACACCCGCCCTGTGGGTCCGGAGGGCGGTCGTCGGCCCCACACGGTGGACGGACTCTCCCGACTTTGTTTCCAGACGCCGCAAGGTTCTTCGTTTTCCTCCTGCCTCCTGGGCTCCTCCCTCCCTCTTCCCTTGCTTTACTTCCATCCCAAAGATCGGGGTTTGGTTCCCTTGTGTGCAGTGCACTCAGGCTCTTGCTGTCAGCGCTCAGCCCTCACGCCGTCTGTGTCCAGCCCGGGTCCCTGCACAAGTCCACGCTCAGGGGTCCAGTTGGTCTCCAAACCCGCTTTCTCGCGTCCGCATCTTCATAGACGACGATGCTGTCCAGACGCTCAAACCAGAACCTGGAGTTGTTACTCTCTTTCCCATCCAACCCTCACATCCTTCAAGTCTTGGCTCGAGGTCACCTTCCCAGTGACTCCCTTCCTGCCCTGATTCATGCTCCCGCTTTCCCGGGGCCGACGTGCTGGCGTTGACTCGGTGTCTCGGCTGGGAGCGGAGGGAGGGAGCTTAGAGGGCTCATATTCCGACTTCCCCACGAAAGTGGTCCTTACCCCCCAGGCCAAGCCCCCACCGTGAGGCCCCCCTTTGGGGATGAGGGACGTGCGTGCTGCGGTGGCCTGCAGAGCGGGCGGGCCCCTGTGAGCTGGCCTCCACTTGTACTCCGCCCTCTGCGGCCCTCTGTAAGGGGACCTGTGCTGTCACCTCAGGTCTCCATTATTCATGTCAGACCCAGTGTTTGAGGATTCTTCAAGTATCTGGCCATTCCTTTTCTCCAGCACGCAGCCAGGTAAGTCCACGGCCGCTGGTCTCTGGGGCTGGGGGGATCTTTACCATGTAGATGTGGTGTTTCCTGGAGCTTCCTCTTGGGGATCGGGCTTCTCTTTTGGTCATTGGGTTCCAAGTTGGAAAACTGGTTCAGATTGAGATATTGGCAAAGAATTTGTGACTTTTTATTGAGCGGCTGGCTTTAACTTCCTTTTTATCCATCCTTGATTTCTTTTGACTGTACAGATAAGAGTAGTCTGTCCTGTATAGAGACTTTCTGGCTGCGCATCTATTTTGCCCGTTAGGAGGCTGTGTTCTGTTACCTCTGAGTTTTCCGTAACTCTCAGTGCGTCAGGCTTCCCTGGCCTCCCCTCTCATCTTGCCACTTGCCTTTTCCTCTTGTGATTAGGTCCTAGTCTGGTCCTTGGCTCTGTCCCCGGTCCCCCTGCGGGCAGCGCGAGCCTCTTTCTATGCTGCCAACGAGGCCCTCTGGTTTTCACAGTAAGCATTTGGTTACTCTTGGCCATTTGTTTTCTTTTTCCAAAGCCCGACTTCTGCTTCATAAGAACTGCCCGTAAGTGACTGTTTCCCCCGTATTTCTTGAACACCTGCTATGTCACACCTAGTGCACATCCATCTATAAAAACCCATTCCGTTTTGTTATTGGTGCCAGTTTTTACTAGTTCCACTTACTGCCTGTGCTGGACTGTGTGTGTACCCTCAACTTCCATGGATGGGGTCCCCGTTTCTGAGTGGGTGGTGGCCGGTCCAGCCCCTACCCCATCCCAGTTTTGTTGGTCCTTCTGGTACCACGCAGTGTGGGCTGGGGTCCCCAGGACGCCCACTCTGAGCCGACGGTCAGTACAGAGTAGGTAACCGGTGCAGGCTCTTGGGGTCACTTCCTATAGAGGGGAGGGGAGGAGGGCAGGAAGGACGTTTGGGTTGAGGGAGACGTTGAGCAGCAAAGCAGGGTGCCTAAAGTCAGGAGGGTCTCCGGGATCATCCTGAGTAGGGGTGTGGGCGCAGGGCCCAATCTGGTCAGCGACCGAGGTGGCTTCTCTGGGAAGGCAGCATGGCCCTCATCACTCAGGCAGGCTGTGTGGGGCCACAGTGCTCCGGCGGCTGGCCACTGAGCCCTCCATCAGGTGCACACGGTCATCAGGTCTGCATTTCCGCGGTTTTGTCCGGGGACTGGGGAACAAGAAGTGCCTGTGAGCTCTTTTCTGCCACTGTTCGTGCCTGTCTCCCTGTAAATCCGCCTTCTCTGCCTTAACGTCCCAGGGCCCTGAGGCCTGAAAGCTGACAGCCCGGCCCCTCAGGTGTGATGGAGCCTCTCTAGCAGCTGGTTTCTCCTGGACTGCCTGGGGCATCGTGACATGGCTGTGACCTGACTGGGGGCCACCCCGATGGCACCTGTGACCTGCCCGGAGCCCATCGTGACAGCAGCTGTGACCTGCCTGGGGCCATCGTGACAGCAGCTGTGACCTGCCTGGGGCCACCCTGATGGCACCTGTGACCTGCCTGGGGCCATGATGACAGCGGCTGTGACCTGCCTGGGGCCATCGTGATAGCAGCTGTGACCTGCCTGGGGCCACCCTGATGGCACCTGTGACCTGCCCAGGGCCATCATGACAGCAGCTGTGACCTGCCTGGGCTACCATGATGGCACCTGTGACCTGCCCAGGGCCCGTCGCGACATCAGCTGTGACCTGCCCAGGGCCATCATGACAGCAGCTGTGACCTGCCTGGGGCCACCATGATGGCACCTGTGACCTGCCCGGGGCCCATCGCGACAGCAGCTGTGACCTGCCCGGGGCCTGTCCGTGTGCACGGTCCAGGTCTCCTCCTGTGGCTTGAACACAGCCTTCTCTGCACGTCTCCATTTCCCCCTTTCGGTAGACACTTGCACTTCACCTTCTAGACGTTGTCTGTGTGGTGCTTTCCGGCCCTCAGCTCCGAAACTCCTGCGCACAACCGTCAGACCGACGCCCTGGCGGCCCCTGCCTGCCTCAGCCACTGGGCTGTGAGAGGAAGGGCCTGGAAGGTGCAGAAGAAGCTCTGGATTCCAGAAACCGTCCCGGGAACCCGGTCACCCCCGTCCCCCTCCGGGGCACCGCCCGCCGCCCACGTCCCCGGCAGCTGGATGAGCATCCCGGAGCCTGTGCCTTGTGCATCAGCCCCGTGAGCACAAATCGCTGCTGGCAGCCGGGAGCCCGCAGGGCAGGCCGTAAACGGCGTCTGTAGCTAGAGTGCCTTCTCACGATGCTGTTTCGTGCAGTGATGACAACTACTGTTTTTTGTCCTGAAGTCAGTGGGAGGCGTAGCCTTCAAGTTGTAACCTCATTTTACCGGAGCGTCGTTTTCACAGCTGCTGTCACTTCCCGTCACCACACCCTTGACCTTACTCACCAGGAATGCGCGGCCCCGGACCCCTGGACTTCCAGGCCCAGGAAGCTTGCTCAGAGTTGGCAGGCGTCAGTTGCTAGCAGTAGAAAAGCACACACGTTTGATGCAGCCAAGTGGTACCTTCCCCAGATGCCCAGCGTCGCGGGTGCATCCGGACCGCGCAGTTCGCTTGGCCTGACCCCGCTGCCCATACCCGCTGCCTCCGAACAGCAGTCCCAACCCCGTGTGGGCTGCCTTCCGAGGAAGTGTTTGCAACTCACCTTAGGATCCAGATCACTTTTCCGTTG